ACTGAATTCAGTATCAGCATCAGCATTTGTATCACAAATCACAAATCAGGATAATCACAAATCATTTACAGCCAGCAATCACACTACTAAAACTTAGCACCATAGGATAAACAAAAACATTTAGCAAAACGCCAGAAAAATGAGCTGATAACAGCTGATACACATTAAGTCTCATCGATAGTTTTTTCAAAGTGAACCATCGTTTATCAAGGGTACATAGGCAATAGTTGATAAGAGAGCAGTTCAAAACGCGATTCACCCAACAAATCTCCATTTTTCTTCCAACGTGTTCGTTTACATTCATTTCTCATTCCCGGCGAGGAAGTTCTTAATTTGACTGCTGCAAATTTGCTCGCTCAGTTGAAGTTTGCATATGCTGATGCGGTTATTTCGTTGAAATTTCCCTCTCAGGTGCAAATAAGAAAGGGTGATAGGCAAGTCGAAACTCAGGTCAAATTCTCTTCAATGTCCACTGTCTACAAACTTTGCTGAAATCCGCGAGTTCTGATAGTGTGGGCCTGTCGGATTTCTTACGTCAAAAATTTCCCCATACCGAGCACGTTCATATAATTGCTTATTAGCCTAACTCTGCAAACTTGATTCACAATTATTCATATAAAAACGTTCAGTCGTTGATATTTTCGCTTAGCTTTCGTTGTTCAAAGGTACGAGAAGAGAGATTGTGCAGAACAAAATTTGAAAGATAAGAGTCGCTATGGTCAATTATTATAGAACACAATTCCTGAGATGCTTGCAGTTGGACTCATTGTTTTTGCAATGGATTATTTCTATTGACAGTTGGATAAGTGGAAAGTTTACTTCAAAACGCTGATCTGATGAAGCAGATTAAGTTGTTGACATTCTTCTCACCGATTGAGTTCACAATACCTCAAACGAAAATCTCTCTATTTTGTTGACTGAAAATATCAGCTCAATATAATAAATTCCTTGGTGTTCCGGTCATCAAAACAAACCAGTTTTTGTCAAAAGCCAGCAGCTCGAAGAGGTAGTTTACCGTTAGTAGCAATCTCTGTATTGTATTTCCGACTTGTACGGCTGACGCTCACGCTTAGGATACCTTCAAGTTGAATGAATTTGGCTTGATTTCTCATTCTCTGTGAATCTCTCTTGAGAGGCAAAACGCCGTACGATAAACATGCCCGACTGGAGAGATTTAGAAGCCAAATACTTGTGAAAACATTCTCAAAAGTTGCTCTTCCGATATAATCATTCGTATTTCGTAATGGAACGCAATATCAAATGCTTACTTTGACTCATAAAACTGATTCGTTTATTACGTTGCAATTTCATTTTTTTTTTCAACTCATTTTTACATATCTCATAAAATGACAATTTTCAGCTTGAAAAAATTATGGGCGATTCTGAGCAAATTCTCGAACAGAGCATTACGTGGAGCGATGTGGAAGGGAAACTAAGGGATGCGCTCAAAACCGAGTCACGATTCGGAAGCCAGAAAAAAGCAGTTGTCATTGGAGTAGAACAGGTTGACATTGCGCTGCAGCATTCATGAATGAGTGCTGCATCTTTTTCGATCTTTGAAGTGTGCATTCCCCTAAGCACGTGCTAATGCTGCTGAATACCGTTGGCTCACTGAATCAAATGAGCAGCGGTGTGATACAGACGATAAGGATGTTATGAAAGAGTATTTGATTCAGTTATTGTTCTCATTGTTGACAACAAAACAGAATAAAAATCATTTCGCCTCAAGAATTCGTAATTCAAGAGTTACTCTGGATTGATCGGTCGTCTTCACCTCGACTGGACACCACCCCATGAAGATTTACCGAAAACTGTCATTGTCAAAATTCCAAGTTGTGAACGATTGAAGCAAATGTCCTCACAGCTGAAATCTGAAGGTTGCGATGTTGAAGGGAAAAGTGTTGATGTGGTAATTGAAGAAATGCAAAAATCGATCAAGGATGTAAGTCATTGATCAAATTCGCTTCATAACTGAAATCAAATGAGTTCATATAGCCGAATAAGCTGATCGAGTCGGCGAGTTCGATTCGCACTATTGAATGTCTTCTTCAAGTACTATGTGAATGTTTCAATGTCAAGTTATGTCATCTGACAAAATGTTCGACGCCTCAACAAAAAGTTTTAATTGAGCCAAATTGTAGTGCATATACATAATTGCTGCGAATCATATGTGCAGTTATCACTGCTGATAAAATCGCAAGTTGTTCACATCTGTTTCATCTTCACTGAGTACTGCTCGATGCACATGTTGTTTTCTGCAGTCGATCAGCAAATTCAGGTTCACGATACGGAAAATTCATTCTATGAACTTGTTCATTCACATGCGTTACCATTCAAAGTGCCTCAAACATACGTTCGAGAAGCATCTGGACCCGGTGACAATTATGGATATATTTTAATGGCTGACCAAGGAGAGGATTCTATCGTTTATCCATTAGGCGTTAATTTCACTGTTGACGAAGTTATTCAGGTAGGTTTTTTCTCTCAAGTATTTCTTCGGGAGATTTTTTGGGGCAGACGTAGTTGTCGTTTGACTGCAGGATCTCATATTTCACAGTTGATCAGAATAACAAGTATCATCTTTACTGAAGGCCAACAGTAAACGTTATCGCTTGAGCGTTTCTGAATCGTCAATTTTTGGTTAAAATCATAGCAATAACATCTCATCAATGATCTTCTGCTAAACTATAGATTCGGAATTCAAGTTCTATATGTTTAGATGTTGCTGATCCAGTTGTAGTTAGGATTTTCATGTGAACTGATTTTTACAGCTATATTTTCTGAAACATTTGCCCCACAACCATCTAACTTTTGATCTAATCATTTATTCATAGCGTTTGTATACGAAGAATTATTATTTGAAGTATCGAAGTATTAAAGTAGTAATGTAAGTATTGAGTGAGAAGTATTAAGAAGTATTAAATATTTATTTTGAATTGTGCCTTCGAGAACAATAGCTACCTTATGGCAGAGACAAATGAAATTCTATTTGAACAGTTGCAAAGATGTTAAATGCATTCCGTTGTTGTCCTGATATACACTGTAATTGTTTCGTTATTGAAGGTTCTGGATGCAGTGAGTGAAGTACACGCTTATTCAATCAAACATCCCGAGTGCTTTAAAAGTATTCATCCGAACAAATTCATCGATAATCTTGTTCAAGCACATGATGAAAGATCGGTTAGTTTTAACGTTGAAAACATAGAGCTGATAATATTGTCAGACGGTTTGCGATGACGTGCAGATGAATGTTATGCGAACTCTTTGAACATCACTTAGAATAGTTCTGTTCCCATATCATGCTTGATGCATTCATGATGGTTGTGGTATCCTAAGGAAATCAACAAAGCAAGTGAATCGAACATTTCCTGACATAATTCACGAAAGACTGAAAAATTTATCGTTGAGTGGTGGAGTTTTATAGGGATGAAACAGCGATGTATCCGTTTGAAAAAGTGAAAAACCACTCAAAAACAGAATGAATTTGATCAAGTTACAATCTGTTGTGTGCAGTTCAAATGAAATCAAGGAAGTGCTTTCGTTTCAGTCACCGCTCGTGCTCCTTAAAGATCTGAAGGTGAGATACAAAGAGAAGTTGGGCAATACAATCGACGAGATCATAAAAAATATTGATGAAATATTCAATAAGAACACCATCAACGAACTGAACGCAAAATTCGGTACTTCATATATGGATTATCTTTTAGCTTCGCATATTTTTCCATTTATTAGCACATTCGAAAGAAATCGCCAACTCGTCACTTCTTCACTCAGAGCCTTGTAGTCGAGGATGAACAGTTAGATTGTCATATTGGAGAAGAGTTCAAGTATTCACATTGTTTGCAGCTATTATCATAGGTCAACATTATTGCGTTCAGGAATGCAGCCCACTTTGGCTCACTGCGAACTTTGGACGCAAAATTTAATTTGGAAAGAGCACGATAAAAAACGAGAGTTGGCAGCTATTATTGACTGGGAGGTATGTTCATCTCTGTTCTTAAAATAATTTCACTTCACATGGTCATGTTAGCTTGAACAAGGCCATGATTATGACCACATCAAAAAGTCGCAAAATATCGCATATCTGAACACTTCTAACAAAACTGTGTTTGACAAATCATGGAATGCAACTGTATTTATATGATCATCCATGCCAAGAACCGTCATCTTTTCAGTGTGTTCACGAGGGTAATCCGAGTGAAGATATTGCCTTTATGATAGCATCCTCACTAAGTGCTGATGATCGTCATCGACACGCAGATACCATACTCAAGCACTATTATGATCATTTAACTGAACTCTTACAACAGCAGCCACCTTTCACTTTGCAACAGGTGTGATGTTTTTATTGAGATGCTTTAAGCGTACGGAATATATTCTCATTGCCCATGAATATTTCACTGATCCGTGAATTATTCTTCGATCAAATCGCAAAAAACTGACTGGATCATGAAGTGAATCCTGAACTATGATGAGGGACAAT